CCCCAATGCACCCTAGGAGCAGGCAAAAAGTACTTCCCACCCCGGAGGCTCCCAAGTGATGTACATGCTATCAGCACTTCTCAGAGTGTTTCAGAGAAGGGCAGGGACGTGTCCCAAGAGCAAGGAGCTGCTTCCACCATTGCTGAGCGCATGCCCTAAAGCAAACCACGTTGGGCACCCCCATCAGAGGTGTTCAGGAGCTCCCTGACAGCCTGTACATGGCGAGATAAAACACCTGCAGAAAGGCTGGGAGGAAAGACTCAGCCAAGCACAACCTCCTTGTCCAAATTCTCCAGAGAGGCCTCGCTGGGCAGCTTTCTGTCTTGAAGATGTATGCCCCAGGTGCCCACAGGCCCTTCTTTAGGGTCTGTGCATATTTGCAGCACAGCTAGAGAGATCTTTTCACCCATGCAGCCATACGGACACAACCATACAGACACACACTGGTACAAATTATCTGCTTTCCTCCGCCGGGACAGTTCTCCCCAGAGAAAAGCGCAGCAGCTCCGCGTTCCTCCTCCACATCTATTCCAACCTGGCCCCCCTGGCCATGCTGCTCTCCATGCCGGTCCATGCTCCGGGCTGGCATGGCTGCCACGGGCACGGGGCTGGATCATTTCACCCACACCAACCAGATAAGCTGGAAATCACAGGTAAGTCCCAAACTTGGGGTCTAAAAGCCCAACACAAGGAGATGAAAGGCAAGAGAGGTTTATAAAGAAAAGCAACATCCTGGTTGACTGACCAGCATCCCTGGAAGGAAAGCTCTCCACTCACAAACCTTCTGCTCACGTCCCAGAGCACAGCTGTGACCGCACCACGGGGACATCACTGGGTCTAAGAGCAAGGAGCCTGACAACTAGTTACTCCTTAACTGGAATAAATAGCTAGACAGTTACTAATTTCAAACAAAATAAAATTAAATAGCTGCTAGAGAACCCAAAGATCCAGGTTGGATCTCTTGTCAGTGATCCTTAGTTTTTCATGCCATTTTTTGCAAGATGGAAATAAAGGTACCCAACTGTTTGCTGCATGTTGCATTTGGGGTTAATCTTTTTATTCTCCTAAATCTGCCAAATAAGTTAATAATATAAAATCTAGACTTCTAAAGCATTCAAGATTCATGAAGACATTAGGCCATTCTGTATGTAGTGTCTGTCAAATACTATAGCTTGTGCCATGCTCCAGCTCCAATGTAATCATTTAAATAGAAGTGCCACATAAACATCATAAAATTCCAAAGTACGTTTAGCTGAACAAAACTTTAGAAACTGGAGAAAAAAAATGCTACTTCTTACACAGATTAGTTCTGAAAGGAGAGGAAGAACAAACTTATGTTGCTTACACACATGGTAGATTACCAAACTTCTAATTACTGCTACGGTTTGGCTGGCAAATGAGCAGAAGATAAGGAAAATCAGCCATATGTTCCTTACACAGCTTAAACTCTTTACGGTTAGGCTGTGTGGGCGTGCAGATGTTTGTGTGCCGTGCAAAAAACCACCCTGCAGAGCGTATCTGAGCGAGCGTAGTGGGTTTTTACACGAGCACGGCGTTCACACACACAACCTACTTGTCCTGCGTTTCCATCAGAGATGCTTCAAAAAGTTACAATGAAAAAAACCTGTAAAATGTGCTCTTTTCCTCAAAACTGGGGTATTTTGTAGGGGTGCTTCTGCGGGGAAACGCTCTAAAAGGAGCAGCTTGAAACACTGTTCATGGATTCTGAACTTGTTTCAGAACCACCATGTTTTCCACTCTTAACATTTCTACATTGTTTCCCAGCTCACAACTGGCACACACCAACGTGCAATACAGAAGCGAAACACAAAGTTTCCAACTGGAACATTTCTCAAAGCTTTTCAATATTCCTCATAAGATTAAAAAAAAAAAAAAACCTCATACAAAACACAAAATGCTTTTATTCCAAGTCCAGACAAAACCAACCGTAATCCTTTAACTTGATATTGGAGAGAGATGTGAAATTGAAGAGATAATGTGATTACTTCCACTTCAGCTCTGTACTGGGACACTAATTCCATTTTTTCTTTCTCTGAAAACACATTTTGTCACATGTATATTAAGAAAGAGGTTTTGTACTTCTGTAAGGATGCCTGCAGCTGCTTCAAGCATACAGGGACTCATACTCGGTATCTCCGCTGATAGCTGCTGAAGGGCTGCCCTGGCAGAATCCTCTCTTCTGCTGAAATTATTCCCTGTTAGATCATTTTCCTCATTGCTACTGAGCTTGGTACAGCTTTACACACAGAAGCGGAGCCACGACAGCTTTGCCATCTCTGCTTTTAAGAGGCAGTCATAGCCTTTTCTCTGTGATGTATCCAAATTAGATACCTCAAAACTTGCAGTGCTTACCTCGATGTGAGCGTACAATGGGCTTAACTCTGTGAGGAAGATGTAAAGAAATGAACACTACCTATAGTCCGGCTATTTCTTTTGCTAAAATGGCACTCAGAATGTGGACAGGCTTCAGAAATATCATTTTTATTTTAAGCCTCAGAAACATCCTCTTATTATAGTTGCCATATATAAGCCCACTCTAAAAACAAGGTTACAGCAGGTTTTCCCACATTACGTTAAAAGTTTGCAATAATACGTATCTTTGTACTGCCCCGATTTACTTCAGTTTTTTCCTGATTATCAGAAGAAAATAGACAAGATGGCACAGAAACAGCACTGACTTCTCCATCTTGCTCTTTGGAGAGGGGGAAGCCACAAGCGAAAAATAAGCACAGAGTAATCCAAGGAAGCCAACTTTAACTTTTACCCTAGGAGACGCGGGGGCAAATGGCACCGAACCATTCTCCTTCCCAGCCCTTCTCCTTTTGCTCCACTTCTCTGCTAAAAACACGTTAGCGTGCGGGCTGGGACCCAAACCGCACTCTAATTAAGGGCCCTGCTGGGCGGCCCAGGGGAGGGGGTCTGCAGCCGTCTGGGTGGCTCAGCTCCCGCTTGGGTGGGTGGAAAGGTGGGGAAACGGCAATCAGCAGCCGGTGCGGAGCGGTACGAGGGATTCTCTGACCTAATTAGCGAGGTGCAGGAGCGCGGCGAAGGGAACGGACGCGCAGCCCGTCCCCGGTCCAAAGGATGCTGCGGGACCCGGGGGCTGCCTCCGCCCGGA